GGTCGCGCTGCCATGCACTGGGCCATCATTGAGACCGCGAAACTGAGGTCGGGTCTGGTTCGGATGGAAAGCCAAAGCATTTCACCGCACAAGGCTTGGCACTTGCGAGTGAGGGCTACATCACGCTCTTCCTCCTGGATGGGGCCAGAGCGCGGTACCGCAGGAACTTCCGAGCTCTCACGACCCGGGTAACGAGACAGCAGTTCTGCAACAAAAGATCTTTGATGCAGATGGAGGTAGGGGCCATCCTGCTCTATCTCAAACCCATTATAAACCAACACTTGTCCGGGAACGAGGTATTCGGGGGGTGTGGTGGACCAAAGTCCTGCGATGAACTCGGTGACTCTCCTAGAGTAGTCAGGCTCGGCCAAAATGAGTGCATCATCAATGTACCAAGCCACGCAACCGAGGATGACAGTCTCCCCCGAAGGTTTCAACCCTTTAACCCACCAAACGTTAGGGTCGGTTTCAAACCGCACCAGCAGCACTTTCATGTCACCAAAGGTGGTAGTGGCCGAGGCCATGGTGCTGTCACGAGATTCGCACCAGGAGCGTGGGCTGATACACAGGCCGTACAAAGCTCCTTCAACCAGCCAAAACTCTTCGATGCATATGCAGTGCTTACGCCAGAGCCAAGGGACCCTGACGACCGTCGGCACACGGTTGGCAGTGAGAAGACGGCTTTGAAGGAAGGCCGTGCGCACATCGAACGAAGAAACGGCCCAACGGTGGGCTGATGCCACCCTGAGGAGAGCACGGAGGGTGGTAGCATCCGCTCCTCCGGCGTAGCACTCGTGCTTGTGGTAAATAGAGTGAGACTCCATGTTCCCGCAGCAGACGCAGCGGGCTTTGCGGCGGCCAGTATGGGCCTTAAGAGTGTGGACGAGTTTGGAAGGAATGAGCTGGTACTCAACACCCTCACGCTTCCACTTATCAACATCCTGTTGTGTAAGAGGTCGGACGGCCTTGTGTTGGTGGACCAGACTGCTGTATTCCTCCTTCCAGCTGGGAAGCCAGAGCTCCAGCTCCGACAACACTTCCACAAGGGTGACCGTGCGGGTCTGCAAAGGGACATTGGAGTCCTCAGGTGAGGCGTTGAGCGGCCCCTCAGTAGACGTGGCAGCAGAGGGGTCTACGGCCCGTGCAACACACAGTTGAGGAGGAGGAGTCTCCTCTTCCTCATCAAGAAAACAGGCAAGCTCCTTTTCGGCGGCATCGGGAAGGAGAGGAGGAGCTTCGGCCGTGTCGGATGAAGCTCGGTCTAACACCCGTTCCAAGCTACAGACCTGGTGATCAATGGAGCGCACCAGCTCAGCAACCTCTTCACCATCCCCGGTGTCGTTGGCATGCCCCCAGAGATGGCGAGCCTGTCGCCCGAGCTTCTTGAGATTGTACTGAACAAAGTCATAAGCCTGGAGGACTGACTCTCGACACTTGTCCAGAGCGACTGAAGCTGCCACACACTCGTACACCGCAGCAGGTTCAGAAGGCATCGCAAAGGGCACCCAATCGTGGAAGAGGGCACAGACCGAAGGAGCGTAAACTGGTTCACATCGACACGGGGGCAGAGGGAACCCTAGGGTGCTTAAGGTAACCCTATCGGCTTCAGGTAAGGCATCTAGCCGTCGGGGAGTGTACCCAACAAGCATCCACCTTTCACCTTGAAACTCTTGTACCTCATGGAAACGGCGGGCATCAAAGGCCAAGGCAGGCCTAACTGGCACAATTTTTCCTTTGCGCAATTCCTGGCCTTGAGGCGAGGGAATGAAGCGGTGCACTGCTTCTTCCTCTGACACACTGGCATCTTCGATCCAGAGGTCCCCTCCCTTGAAAGAGGAAAGGGGGAACAGGTAATTCAACGCACCCTTTTCATTGAGAAGGTCGTGATGGCAGCTCTGTTGACAGTTGCCAATTACCGCAAGGGCCGAGAATGTGGCAGTGGGATGGGCCTCAACGAGTACTCGACATAGGACCCTAGTGAGTTCCGGGCGCTGGCGTGTAGAGCGAGTGAGGCCGGTGTCGTACGGGCTGCAGTAATGACCAAAGGTATGGTAGACCGGAGCCTCTCCCACGAAAGATCGAGCTCGACGACTTTGCCGAATGCGAAGTCCTGAGACTTGCACTAGGCCGAGGACTGCCTCAGCAGTGAGCACCGGACGTGACAGAAGGGCGAAAGCAAGAGCTTCGGAGCTGGCAACATCCAACACCGGCGTGGTCTGGGGAACTCGCCGAAGCTCATCTTCCTCCTCAGGCAACAAGAAAGTCACCTTCCTTCGGCCTTTTGGGAAAAGAGGGGCTGGCGCGGCAGAGGACTGGCTCGGAGGTGGCGGTTCTGACTCGTGACAGGAAGAACCCTTAACAGACTTAGGGGCGGAGAGAGTCGGGACTCCCCCGAACCCCGGCTCCGTTGACAGCGCAGCAACCCGAAAACTGTGAGGCAGCCCACCCCTATTTGAAATAACCGTATGAAGGTCAAAGGCTAGCCAGAAAACCGTATCCCCATCTTGCGGTGTCACAAAAGAGTACAAGGCTGCTCGGCCAGAGGCACGGCACGAACGCACAGTCAAGGCGAGGTACTCCTCGGACTCCTCCGGAGTCTCTCGGTGCTGGTCTCTGGGAGAACGAGACCTTGAACGCTCGGCAGGGGGGTTCCTTTCAGAAGAGGTGGTAGCCGGGTGGTCGTCTCCACGGCTCGACGAAGGTCTTTCCTCGAAGGCCTCCTCTGGGTCTTCTGCAACCACAAAACGCAACTCTGGATCCAGGATCCAGTCTCGAAAACGCTGATCCCAAAGCACTTGCTCATGCTCATTTGGCGAGGGAGGATAGACCGGCTCAACCTTCTCCCAGCTCAGCGGGAGGTTGCGACACACAAAGTTGTCAAAGTCCGGGAATTGTGCATCAAGTATCGATGCTTGCTCAGCTGTGACATAGGCATAGTAGACGTCATCATCCTGAGAACCTCGGTCATGGATGTCGTAGCCTGGAGTGCGAGGCCTATTGGTTGCCATGGCTACACGGGGAGGGACATCCTGGACCGGAGTCCACAGCCTCTGACAAGCCTCTAAACCTTGAGCCTGAGCACGGTCACCTGAACAAGAATGCACGGTAGGTGGTGATTCTGGCAAAACCTGAGTGTGGTCACCTGGGCCTGGCGAAACCGGAGCATGGTCACCGGGGCAAGAAGGCCCGGTAGGTGGTGGTTCTGGCAGAACCTGGGCGCAGTCCCCTGGGCCTGGCGAAACCTGCGCATGGTCACCTGGGCAAAAATGCACGGTAGGTGGCCGTTCTGGTGCAAGCGAAGAAAAACCAGAAGAAAAACCATTCTCACACCCTCCCCCTCGCCGCTGTGCGGCGACAGATGGACGAATGTCAGGCTGTTTGTCCCGAAGACGAGTGGGAGGGGGGCGGCCCGCGAACTCCTGAAGCTCAACGGCCTCGCCCACTTCCACAAGAACATCAGAGTGCAAGTAGCCACCGTCGTCGGTCACAACAAGATGGCCACCTGGGACGTCCGGGGAAGGACACAACACGGTAACCATCAGTGCACGGCTCCCCCAAGAGCCCGCAGCAAGGCGTGACCACGTGCGTCTGCGCAAAACAAGCCGAGCGCGCCAGGGCAAAAGCTTGGGAGAAGGCTGGCCAAGGGCACTGAGGGCAGCAGCACGAAGACGGGCACAAGCGTGACGCATGGCAAAACTCCAGTCTGACGTCGGGGCCGCATGGGCTTGCAGCAACGTGCGGGTGGCCCGCTTAAGCAACCGAACCGTATTCTCAGTACGGCCGTTGGCCTTGAAGTCGTCCCCACAAGTGGTGGTATGGGGAATGCAGTGAAAACGCGTAAAGTGCGCTAAGGAAGCATTACGGAACTCCCGGCCGCGATCGCTGTGCAGGCGATGAATGGGAAGACCCAAGGCACGGACCTGAGTGACAACCTGCATGACAGCTCCCGACACGTTTTTCCCGGATTTGCTCACGAGCGGAACGAAGAACGGTACGTCCTGCATGGGCACGGCAGGAAGAGGAGAGTCCTTCCACTCATCGGTGAGGGCATCAAACTGCCCTTGCCACGCTTCATTTTCAGCATCAGCTGCCGCAGTCTGCGAAGGAGTGAGGGGATCGCACAGATCCTCAGGGTCAGCTGGAGCGTCCAAGACTGGTAACAGGTCTTCACTGCCATCACCTTCATCGTCAAACAGGTCGGCAAAGCATGGCTCTGAATCCAACAGTTCAGGAGGGGCTGAACCGGCGGCGGGTTCCTGGTTCGAGGTGTCCAGAGAAGGAGCGGGTTCCTGGCTCGAGGTGTCAAGAGAAGGCGCAGCAACACCTGAAGAGGAAGCGGCCTCTGGGGCGAGAACGTGCCCGGGGTTAGAGTCACCTCGAGGGTCTGAGGGCGCGGCGCTAGGCTGAGGCATCTCGGGGGTCACTATTTTTGGAAATGTGTACACCCCGACTAAACCCCAACGGATCCGTTTTCCATCCTCGCTATCTCCAACAACGAGGGGTCCTATGAGGTCTAAGCCTAACGTATAGGCTTGAGGTACAGGAATCCTCCGGTGAGGTTTGTGGGTAAACTCACCCGCCAGGCAGTGAAAACAGTCACGCCGTCGAGGCATGTGGTCCTGAGCAAGGTGTTGCGCCCACTGGGCCTCCTGAGCCTTGGTCATGGCTGCACACAAAGGACCTTGCCGGGAGGTCTCGTCCTCAGAACCCGAAGCCGAGGATCCAGATCTAGATTGGGTGCGGGGACTAGGACAGCCCCGCAACAAAGAAGCTTGGAAACCAACGAAATCTACAACAGCCTGACACAACCCTGGTGCCCATTTGCCCCAAGTCGTGGAGGTGGTGAGCGAGCTGGAGCCAACAGATCCGCCAGATGACTCTTGACCCGGTCCACGCACGGGTTGTAGGGCCCAGCCCGGGCCTAGCAAAGCAAGCGTGGTGGGTTTCCTTTTGGCGTGGCCGAGTGGTCCCTGATCTAAAGAAAGCAGAGTGGGGCCTTCAACCTGGCTCCATTCTTCAAAGGCAGACCAACGAAAGCATGAAGGGTAAGGCCTCCCTTCAGTATCGTGCGAGGCATCAAAGACTTGGGCCGGGTCCTCGGGCTGCTCCATGCCGAAACAGAAAGGTTCAGGGCCAGTCAAGTCTGGAGACTCGGAGCGGCGTAGAGCTCGACCGGCACGACGAGCTACCGAAGTCAACATGAACATACGGAGGTACAGGGCACTGTCCTGATCGACCATAGCCTGTGTGGCTGCACTGAGACCTGGGAGGCCCCAAGCATCACTTCCAACTCCACGCACGGGAGGAGGGCCTGAGCTGAGGTGGTGAAGGGCACTGAAGGTTCTGCAGGGAGGACCCCCAATCACAGCACGCACCCTTCCGGTTTGTGCGAGGTGCAGGAGAAAACCAAAGGTGTCCTCACGCAGCAGGTCTTCTTCTATGTCAACCTCTAGGACATCCCACCCCAAGTTAGCCTGCGTAAGGCTTCGGAACAGACCTCGTGACTGGCCCGGAAAAAGGTGGATAATGAGGTGCTTGGCTCGGGACAGGGTTCGCCTCCGTCGGCGGTTCCACGGCGCAGCTTTCTTGCAGGGGGCGATGGCCAAGGTGGGCAGAAGCCTGGCAGGAACCGAAGGAACTATCCCTTTAAACCACAAAGCCAGCTTATCACCGGACGGGTCTTGGAGGACGTCCTCAAACGAGGAAGTTGGGAGCTGAGTGAGCCTTGCGACCTGAGCTCGATTAACCCTTTTGGAGTTCTCGATCTCGGTGATTAGCCTGTTGGCCTCATTGGGGGTGATCTCAGGGCACCCGGTAGAGCAATCCAAAGGCAGGTCCGGCTGTCCTGGGCGCCAGATACGCATCTTGTTCACAGACAAGAAAGTCATGCGGTAGCCGATTCGGATCAGCTCATGTAGGGCGACGATAGGATCACAAGACGAGCCTGGTGGCAACAAAAGAGTGCCTGCCGGGGACACACGAGCGGTCACTTCGCCCACAGCTAACCGAATGGAAGTGGGAGTGGACTCATTCCACTCAAAGGTGTTCTTGGCTGAACGTAGGCAGCACGTAGCCCCACCATCAATGAGCCCCTTACCACTGGAGCTCAGGGCACCTGAAACCTGGTTGCCTGGCTCGGCAGACCTGATAGCCTTGAGGAGCTCCTGGCGAAGGGAGGTAGCTGCATCACGAATGGCCTGGGCTGCAGAGGGTCCCAAAGTAGAGCCAGCTGCTTCGGGCTCCTGCGATTGCGCCTCACCTGCACCTGGAGAGGGTTTATCAGCTTGGGTTCTACGAACGGCCTTCTTTGCATCAGCCTTGGCCTTGGCAGCAGCATAGCCCCCTGGGGAGGTGCATTCACTCTTAAGGTGTTTTCCCCCGCAGTTGAAGCACCGGCCAGACATTCCGGTGTGAGTCTGGTGAACATACTTGCATGTGTTACCTCTAGGGCAGCCCTTCTCAGAGGAAAACTGACGGCACACCTCCTTTTCAACCCCCTCGTTGGGTTTCCCACCTTTCTCCTTCCCTTTTCCTTTACCTTTGGGCTCTTCGGGCTTATCAGCCGTAGGCGCCTCAAGGGCAGCAACTCGCTGCTTCTTGGGATCAGGAGCTACCAACAGAAGAGTCTCAAGCTCAGCAAGGTACAACTGGGCCAGGGAAACTGAGGAGTCTTGTGAAGGAAGGTGGTCGATGCTGTTCTGCAGACGAAAGGCTTGAACTCGAAACACCGCCGAGGGGTCAGAGAGGAAAGCAGCACCCAGCTTGTCAACCGCCTTGACTAAAAGAGAGGCGTCAGGAGGAGCGAGTTGCAACTCGGTGGAGCGAGCAAGCCAACGCAACCAACGTCTCAAGTTCTTAACTGCCTGTTGAGTGTCCTTTGGAGCGTCAGGGCTGACAAGGAACTGGAGAATCGAAGCCTTTTCAGCCTGCCCGGCAGGCTGATACCGGGTGTGTAACAAGAACAAAATGCCGACTGTAGTCAAAGCCCGCACCGTGATCACTTCGGTCTTGACCGCGCTAGGGACGGCCTCCAGCAGCAGTGTGGTCAGGCGCTGCTCAAGTAGAGCGGTACCTCCCTGGGATGAGGCGTTGGCACCATCAGCAATGGCCCTTGTGCGGATCGTGAGACGGGTGACCGGGTCGCTGGCTAACCACAAAGCATAATGCTCATTAACCCGGGCTAAGACCTCAGCGAACCAAGTGGCGGCGCCAGGGGTGAGGGAGCCTATCACCGGGGTTATGGTAACCAGCCAGTCTCCTAAGATTACTGCTCCTTGGTCTGGCGTGTAATCTTCAAGCTTGGGCAAAGCCTGGACATACCTGCTGGGCTCCTCTGATTTGGCAGAGAGAGGCAAAGCCGGCACCGGAGGGCGGAACACTGCGGGAGGAGGGGTCGAAGACCTCACTCCTCTAGTAGCTGAAATCTCCTCGACCGGGAAGTTCAGCAATGGTGGAGCTCTCGGAGGCGAGGGACTCGGGACTCGGAGCATCGGTGGAGGAGTCCTAGGAGGGTCACTGTCAGGCGGTCTAATCTCAGAACCTCCCGGGGTCAAGGGATAACGCACAATCCTTGGCTTCACCGGTGTCACCGGGCGCTCGGCGTCTGGCGGTTCAACCATTATTGCTCCTCCTCCTGAGGCTGCCGTAGTGGGAACCTCAAGGCCAGGCGGGCTGCATGGAGCCGGTTCCCCGATGAAGAAGTGCTGAGGGTGGCCTTGTTGAGAGGCGGCTGAGTGGAATGAGGCCTGCGACCCATCATCCTGGCGAACCTCACGTTCTGCAAAGGCTGGAAAGACACCTGGATGTATGGAGTGACCCGGCCACGGAGAAAAACTTGGTGTAGGCCCCAACACGTTGCCTGGCGTAAGAAACCTCAGCGCCTCCTGAGCCCCAACCTGACTAGACGCACCCCTTTGTACCTGTGGACCTTCCACCCCTTGCGCAACTGGAAAAGTTTCAACAACCCCCGACGTCTGGACCCTAGCTGCCTGTGGACCTGAAACATCTGTGACCCTGCAGTCTGCGACACCTGAGACCTGAGTGCTTGCGGGGAAACCTGCGGCACCTGAGACCTGAGTGCTTGCGGGAAAACCTGCGGCACCTGAGACCTGAGTGCTTATGGGAAAACCTGCGGCACCTGAGACCTGAGTGCTTGCAGCAGGAAAACCTGTGGCATCCTGGACCTGAGTGCTTAGGGGAAAACCTGCGGCGTCCTGGACCTGAGTGCTTGTGACAGGAAAACCTGTGGCATCCTGGACCTGAGTGCTTGCAGCAGGAAAACCTGTGGCACCTTGGACCTGAGTGCTTGCAGCGGGAAAACCTGTGGCACCTTGGACCTGAGTGCTTGCCGCGGGAAAACCTGCGGCGTGTTGCAAAGTTTGAAGCTCATAGCCCGGCACTGCAACAGGCATCCACCTTTGAGGGACCCATGGCTGCTGTGGTGGGAGCTGAGAGAAGGCCGGTCCTGGAGAACCACTAAACCCTATCCCAAAACCACCCCAAGGCCCCAAAGGCTCAGACCTTCGGGAGGCTGAGGCCCTGCTCGCACGGGTGGTGTGCGAGCCTCCTTGACTTCTTCGCTCATCGTCCATCCGCACCAGCATAGCCTCCATCAGACCAGTCAGACGATCCAAACGAGCGTCTGTCGTGCCCGCCGAGGCAGTGCTCGGGGCTCTTCGTCGCCCGTCTCGAGCCACGGTTCGCCCTCTTTCCATCGAAGACAAAGAAGTCGAAAGACGCATAGGCGAATCTGCAGCAACCTCCAAAGCTGCCACAGTAGTGGCCTCTCCAGGGCCTGTACCAGTCGCGATTGTGCCAATCGGGGCCGCTCCAGGGCCTGTGCCACCAGCGACCACTCCAGGGTCCATTGCTTCCAGAACCACTGTAGCCACCGGCCTCCCAGAGGGGCCCAAGGATAAGTCACTATAAGTAGGCTCCAAAACTTCGTCGTCCACCCGCGCCTCACGCGGAGTTTCACGAGGAGTGCCCATGGAGCCGCTTGGGCTCATAACCCACAAATCAGAAACTTCAAGAGACCCTGTCTTGAGCCTCAATCCTTTCACCTCCTAGCCCAGAATCCCTGAACGAACGACCCCCAACCCTTGAGAACCCTGAACACCCTGAACAGGAGCACGGGACTAGGGGACCAGGAAAGGGACAGGACTAGGGTACCAGGAAGGGGAAAACCAAACCCAACCCAGAAACCAAAATTCAAAAACCTCTACCCCCATTCCAGGAGTGCTTTTCACTTGAGCCTTGAGCCCGGTTTGTGTGTGTCATCCTTGCGCAGGGGCTTGCATTTCTGCTATTACTATCACCTTTACTCTTACTATTACTATTACTATTACGGAGTGGTGTAGCAGGAACTCGATGTTAAGTTTTTTTACAAGTTAAGTTGCTGCT